ATGAGGCTGTGAATGATTCTGTCCACGTCAGTCTGCTTTACCGTCAGGGCTGGCTCCTTACATGTGCAATGTGTGCAGTCCCACAGACCCCCATGCTCAGAAGAGCCACACTCTGTGTAACGCTCTGCGATTGGCTGCCTTGAAATTCTTAATCCTTTTTCAATCAGGGCCCCACATTTTCATTTTGCGCCCGGACCCAAAAGTTGTGTGGGTGGTCCAGATACTGTTACTCTTACAGTTGCTGCTGCAGCCGCTGTTGTTTTATGCACAACCCACCTCCATCTCAGTGGGAGAGACGTCTAAGTCCTGTGACACGGACAGGTAGCATGTGGTGCTGGCACGTCCCTGTGTCCAACCAGACCCTGGGCAGACTCCCAGCTGCCAAAGGGCAGGAAAAGGTGGACTCGGCAGAGGACTCTTTCCCACTCATTTGCTTCGTTCGCGATTACTGAACTCCACCCGGTCCCAGGCACTGCGCTGGGGGTTTTAGGGGATGTGGCGTGAAAAAGCTACTCCCTTTCTCCAACCCCCAATCAGAAACCCAGAACTATGGGGATGCCTGGGTAGCTCATTCAGTTAAGGGTCCGACTCTTGGATTTCGGCTCGGGTCATGATCTCACCGTTCATGAGACCGAACCATGCACAGGGCTCTGCGCTGACAGGGCAGAGCCTGCTTGGGATTCTCTCACTCCACCTCTCTGCTCCTCTCCACCCTCTCTCTCTCCTTTTCAAAATAAATAAATAAAATTTTAAGAAAAAGTTTTTTAAAAGGAAAGAAACCCAGAGCTAGGAACCAGGGCATCTGCTCGTGGAAATAAACCACACCCCTAGTGAGGTAGAAAGAGTGTTTAATTGGAAATCAGGAGACCTGACTTCTAGCCCTTGCTCTGCTCTTGACTTGCTGTGTGACCTTGGGCAAATCACTTCCCCTCTCTGAACTATATCACTGCTTGCCCAAATGTGTTTGGCCTCAGGTAACCTATCGCCAAATCTCTGGAAATGCAGATACCTGGGCTCCACCCCGGAATGACCGGATCAGAATTTCTAGGAGTGGGTCCCCAAAATCATCATCCAGAGCTCCCTACGTGATTTTGATGTGTGTTCCATTTTGAGAACCTCTGAGGCACATGATCTGAGCCTTTGACTCTAATCGTCTGTGTTTGATAACTTCAGCTCTTAAATTAGGTCTTCATAGTTGCACTAATAGCATCCATGTCCAGGCAGGAAACATAAAAGACTGTGGGCAGGCATAGGGCAGAGACTAGAAGGGGACTGTTCCCTAATCAGACTGGAGAATGACCCACAGAGAGCTGAAGGCAGGTCCATGAAGGAAGAGAAACAATCTGGGAATCAGTAGTGCTTTGGGGAAAAGCAGGGCCAGAGAGGGTCTGGGAATCTAGTTGTGGGCTGGCCAAGAATCCAGCTGCTGCCCAGAGCCCCACCCAAGTCACCCAAGGCCTCCAGACCGGAGACCCCCAGGAGCACCTGTTTAGGAAAGCAGAGGGGTGGCATCCTTGTCGTCCCTGATGCTCCGAGACATCTGGGGTCTGCTCGCAGCTCACATTCTACAACTGCACTGCCCACTGAGGTGGTCACGGCCGCCTGTGGCTATTAAAATTTAAGTTAATTAATTAAATTTAAATTCAATTAAAAATAGGGGCGCCTGGGTGGCTCAGTCGGTTAAGCGTCCAACTTCGGCTCAGGTCATGGTCTCACAGTCTGTGAATTCGAGCCCTGCGCGGGGCTCTGTGCTGACACCTCAGAGCCTGGAGCCTGCTTTGGATTCTGTGTCTCCCTCTCTCTTTCTGTCCCTCCCCCACTCGTGCTCTGTCTCTATCTCTCTCTCAAAAATAAATAAAAGTTAAAAAAAAATTTTTTAATTCAATTAAAAATAAATAAAGGAAGCCGAAAAGGTAAATATGTGAGGTGATAGGTGTATTAATTAATTTGATGGGGGAAACCCTTTCAAAATGTGGACATGTATCACATCATCATATTGTATACTTGATCTGACAATTTGTCAATTATACTTCAGTAAAGCCGGGGGGGGGGGAGGTAATTAATTAGTTAATTAAAAGTTCAGTTCCTCAGTTGCACTTGTCACACCTGATGTGACTAGCGGCTACTATGTTGGATAGCACGGATTCTAGAACGTTCCATCTGGGCAGGAAGTTCTCTAAAGAGAGTGGAAATCTTATCCATCACTCTCTTCTGTGCCCATCCTGTTGCTGGATATTTGTAACAATAGGAGGTTATTTAGGAATTTACTCTGCCTCAGCCCCTGCTGCTTCTGGGATAAACTTCCCTTCCGAATCCCAGCCCAGCCTGATTGGCCTTAGGCGGCTCTCACAAGGCAGGCATGCCTGGCCTGTCTGCTTCGCCCATTACTTGAAGCATTTCTGACAGAAAAGGCTTCACTTTTCATTTTCTCCCTGTAAGCCAGGGGACCCCTCCTTTGAGCCTGTCTTACTGGCTCTAAGGTTTTCTAAGCTCAGTTTATACAGCAGGCACGCAGCTTCCGAGAGCTCCAGAAAACAAGTTTTGGCATGTCTCCCCTTCTGCCCCCCACAGCCACTGAACAGACTTTCAGTTCATCCAAGCACAGGCATCCCCGTGATCCCAGCATCATGCCACTGGGCTCCTTCCCCATCTGAGCCTGTTCTTTGGGCTCCTGACCTCTCTTCAACCCCTTGCTTGGGCAGGCTCACCCCTCCTCCCCTTCCACCGTCCTCCCTCTCTTGTACCCCCCCT